CCCTTTTTCCCCTTTTATAGGAAAAGTAGTACCATTTTTCCTTTAAATTAACCCAAAACTCCTGACCGATAAAAGAATAAATTGCTGAAATGTTTTTGTGTTTGTGTCTTATTTCCCCCTAGGCTCATAATGGCTTTCGCAGAATTTAACACAGAGAAAAACCCTGAGCTGACAAACTCTGAGTTCACGAAATACTTCAAGTACGTGTGCACCAGTCTACTCATCCTTAAAGCTTCGTGCAACTTCATCCTCTACTGCTGGTTCTCGGAAAAGTTCTGGGCGACTTACAAGAGGATTTTCTGCCCCATGCTCTGCGTATCCCAGCAACGCTCAGCCAGACGCTATCCACACAGCAGTAACAACAACAACCACAGGAGCATGTGGCAACAAAGCAGCACCACCAATTTCCACCGCTCGTCCTACTACGTCACCAGGGAGACCACCTGTTGAAGGATGGCGTAATACCACAGATTGGTTTTATAATGTCCAAGACTCTTCTGTACTCTGACGTAGTTCCGGTTCACCATGGAGTACAAGCATACCATTTGACTTTATTTGGAACTAAATGAAAGGCAGGGAGGGAAAAGTTGCCTGCACATTCTACATACTGCAGTCAGGCTGTTGGCTTTTTTTACTTCGTAATATGCGCCACCATGGTGTGCAACAGCGCAGCGAAGTTTCAATAGAGAGAAACGAGCGCGGCCATGACATTGTCGGGTGTATGATATTGTAATCCAAGTATACGTTTCCTACACTGACGTCATGTTAAAGACGAGGCAGATTGCTTCAACCCTGCTTGACTTGGCCAACAACACAGGCAGATTGAGATTTAAAAAAAAATCCTAGTAGACCAAAAAAGATACTCGATTAATTTTTTAATTAATGATGTCGGTGGCTTAGTGGTTAGGCTAATAGACTCGTAATCGTGAGGCTGCGGGTTTGGGGGTTCGAGCCGCGGGCCCGACGTTGTGTCCTTGGGAAAGGCACTTTACACGAATTTTCCCCACTTCACACAGGTGGGAATGGGTACCCGGCCATAGACAGCGAAAGATCTTGTCAGTATGTTAGTGTTAAAGCGTCTATAAATAGCTGCTTGCCCTGTATGCTTCCTAGGAAGTTGAGGTTGTTTCAGAATGCTCTCCGGTCTGGTGGGGTAACAGTATAGGTTGTGAAGCGCATAGAGCTTGCTGTTGAGCAGGGATTTGCGCTATACAAATGCTATCTATCTATTAGTTTAAATAATTCCCCCACAAGGGAATCGAACTAGCGCCTTCTGTCTGCAATTGCAAAGAGTCTAATCAGTACTCTAGAAACCCAGTAATTTATACTCTGTCTGAACTTTGGACAACTGAAAATGACTGCAACAAGCTGATATTTACTTACAACGTAAAACCGAACACCTGGGTATGAACACTTCTGCTTCACTTCTTGGATGGTGACCACACGAGCAGGACCTAAAAACTTGCACAATGTTCTAAAGGTAACTTTAATCGGGAGAACGTATTAGTGAGTCTTTCCTGAATACTGTAAGAATAGACTTTGACCATGCCAAGAACAATGATTTATTCCGTTTAGAACATTTTTTTCACGCTGGTGTTGCCAATTGCGCTCTCATTTATCGCTGTTCCCTGAGGGACAGTCCCATAGTACTTATTGCTCAATACACATTTGTCACATTTTATGTATAAATGTACTATATTACTGATGTACATAATAATATGTTAATTTGTGCATTTGGTTGATATACAAAATTTCATGCTCATGGTGTTTTTAATTGGAATTTTTGCTCACATTGAACTGAATATTTACAATTCAAATTTTACAAGTCTAAGTAATGTCATAAAGCGAATTATACGATCGTACCATAAAGCGAATCATACGAAATCTGCATGTCCGTCTGTCTGTTGTACGAGCTCTGTCTCTCTCTCTCTCTCTCTCTCTCTCTCTCTCTCTCTCTCTCTCTCTCTCT